TGCAAAAAAGTCTTAAAATATAGAAGATTTTGTAAGAGAGAGTGATAAGTACACCTCAGTGTATTGAGGGTGAAAGAGATTTTTTCATAAGGGAACAAGTTCTGGAAGACAGCCAAAAACAGGACTTCCCGATGCAGTCACTGACAGAGGAACTAGGACTTGCCAGGAATAAATCCTTGCCCAAAACTGTAGCTCAGAAGGAGCAAACCATGCTCTGCCACCCTGGATATTAAAGAGAAACCAAAATAGTGAACATTCAAATAAAATGGAAGGGGGAAAAAAGTAAGTACAGATATGGAACTGATAATGGGGTTCCAGTAAAATATACTGGATTAAATATCCCAATTCCTGCTCAAAAGCCAAACAATCCCCCATGTGAGGAGAGGGCTCTATGGACAGGAACAATGGACAACATCATAGCAGAAAAGATCCTTTCATTAGGTACTGGCACCCAAATAAAATTCTTATTTACCCAGAGTGGACCATGGGGTGCAGTGAGATTGCAGCATCCTTTTTTCAACACTGTTTATAACTGACAAAGTAAAGTAGACATGGAAGAAATTTTGATGGCTACAAATATGTGTTGGGGGAAAAAAAAAACGAAAAGCAGTACAAAATTAGATTTTCTATATGTCAATTTAAGAAAACAAAAAGCCTCAACTACCTCAATTGCATTGTCTCAGCTCACACAGGGATTATCACAGCTCCTCATGAGGATATGACCCTCTGGAAAGCAATTACATACTTCCCTTTCTCAAATGCCAGCATATTCACACAGAACAAGATGTTCCCAGGTCTCTTTTTGATATAAGAGTAGTGGCAGTCTTCTCAATGCCTCCAACAATTTGTAACTAAGACACCTAGACAGTACAAAAAAGCATCTTTAAAGTGCTACATAAAATGCCATTCATCAATTCCTAAAAAAACCTTAGGTTAGTTCAAATCAACAATGGCACTTCAGAAGTTGCCAAAACTTCTCCCATTTGTCAAAAATACAGATAAACTTAAGGGAAAAAATCTAGATCATGATGAAGGCAAAATTCAATCCCTAAAGACAATCTGTGCTCTTTTGTTCAATGAAGTTGGCAAGAAAAGTCTTATACAATACTCAAAAACTATTATTTTAGCCTCTTTTTATCTATCTTCAGCAAAAGACCCAACGGTTTAGTAACTAATTAGAAACTCCAGGCTGTTCTACTCGACACAATGCAAAGCAAACAAAAGCAGCTTCCAGTGAAGGAGAAAATCATCAAAGCAAGGAGGTAACCCACAATAGGGAATGACACTCCATGCTTACCAACTAAATTTTACCTTTATTTTTGGTCGCTTGATGGAATTTTGTGCAAGAAAACACAAGAAAGTCGTGTCTGGGAAACTTCCCCAAGAAAATTGAGATTTTCTCAATCACCTGTGCAGGAAAGGTGATTGAGAAAATTCCCCAAATGGCAAAGGACCTTGAGACTATCCCTTACAGAGATGCCCATAGTTCAATATCATCAGGAGGTAGGCCCAAATAAGGTGGAAACAGGCAAATAGCAAAAGGAGTGCAGATAAAAATACTGATCTTAGTTACCTCAGAGACCCCGCTGTCCTGTAAAGCCTGAAACTACAACTCCATGGTGGAGTCAAAAGTTAGCCACCCTGACCCTGAATGTCACAACCAACTTCTCTGCAAGCTCTCACTATTTTCAGCTGTGCATTGTTTCCCATTGCCTTCATTTCGTGTCAGTTTCTACCTTGAAAATTCATGTGTGACACACTTAGAAACTGAACTACAAGGACAAAAATTTTACCTCATGTTATGAAGCTCTTCTTGCTTACGTGCCTTTTACACCAGGCAATGGACAAGAATCCCAGGATCACTGAGGGTGGAGAATCCCTCCCAGCCCATGGAGTCCCAGCTGTGCCCCATCCCCACCCTGTCCCCAGCCCAGGGCTCTGAGTGCCACCTCCAGGGGACACCTGCAGGGCTGGGCACTCCAAACCCCCTGGGCAGTGCCAAGGCAGTTCCTGAGCCCCCTTTCCATGGGGAAATTCCTGCTGTGCCCACCCTGAGCCTGCCCTGGCCCAGCCTGAGGCCGTTCCCTCTGCTCCTGTCCCTGGTCCCTGGAGCACAGCCCAAATCTCCCCTGTGTGTTCCCCCCAGCCAGGTAAAGGTTGTGGCAAAACCAAACTGATGCTGCAGAGAGGGAAGCCCAGGATGCTGCTGTCCCTGAATGTCCAGGAGCATGAGGCAAAAAGCCCTGCTCCCCTCCTCACTCACTGTCAGCAGGATGCCTTGATTTAGCTTTTATATTTTTCAAATCCTGTGCTGCTCTAGGGTATAACTCTAAGCTCCATATACAGTGTTAGCTACTATCTTCACATTTTGGTCAGACAACACAATCCCTCTGGGCCTGAAAATCAAGGGCACCCTACAGCCTCAGGCCCTGAAAGTATAAACAAAAGTGAATTGTTGGGGAGCAAACTGGGGGTAAATGACTTCATTACCTGAAGCTGGAATTGGAGGATTAACTCCTGAAATGCAAATGGACCAAATTTATAATTGCCTGAAAAAACTCGTGACCATTTTCCATCTTGGGTGTAGCCTCTGGGAGGCTTCTGACTGCACAAGCTGTACCTTTTCAAGGCTTTAATAAATACCCACGTTATTCTCTTAATATTATCCAGCCGCTGTTCTAGGCAGCCACTCCGGGGCACTGCACAGCAAAAGCTGTCCCAGACCAGAACAAGCCCTGCAGCAGCACGGGGCTGTGGTGCCACACAGGGGACACCGGCCCAGCCCTGAGCCCCAGGGAGCCCCAGGGACCCCCAGGGCACAGGATGATGTGGTCACCCAGAGCTGCTCTGCACTGCCCACCCACAGGGCTGGCCTGGGAGAGGACAGGGCCCCATTCAGTGGCACCAGCGATACCTTGAGTTTTAGCCCTCATATTTCCCAGATTCTGTACTGCATTAATAACTCTCAACTCCATATAAAGCATCAGCTGCTCTCCTCACAGCTCAGGCACACAGAACAATCCTTCTCCAGCCCCAGAACCAAGGACACCGCTGCAGCTTCAGCCCAAAAAGTACAAACAACAGGGAATGGAGGAGAGCAACTTGGGAGGGTGGGACTGCAGAACCTGGAGGTGGAATTGGACAATGAACCCCAGTATGGAAATGGACCAGAACTTACCAAAGTGTGAAAACTTGTGTCTCAGGGTCCATCTTCGGTCTATCTTGGGTCCAAGGTGTGTCTACCTTAGGTCTATCTTGGGTGGAGCCTTGGCCACATTTTTGTGGTGCCCAAGGTGCATCCTTTGAGGCCTTTTAATAAATCCCTACCTTATTCCTTTAGCTCTGTCTAGCCTCTGCTCTAGGCATCACCAGAGTAGGACAGAGCTCCCAAAACAGGCTGCCCAGGCAGCACAAGACCTCCAGCCCCAGGGCCTCACTTCAGAAGCTCTAAATTAAAAACTACGAGCTGCTCATGTTCAATTTTAGTTCTGAAGCAGAATCACTGGTGTTTACATGGCTCATGTCCTAAGCAATTCAGGAGCTGCCTGGCTCCTTGTGCGTTACCATGGCACTGCAGAATAGCTGAGGTGAGTGTGGATGGGAGGAGGCTGCAGAAAGTGCATTTCAGCAGCAGCTTTGCCTCCTGTTATAAATAACAAATGCAGTTATTGCCTTTCACATTTATGTATTAGCTATTGTTTTGCAAGTTATTTTTGATCACAAAGATCCTGATATAGTGAAATTTGTGATTCCTTTTAGCTGCTTTTTGGTATAGTATAATGTGTCCGTTTAGGTATGCATCATATAGCTTCTAGAAATACTTGATAGATATTGAAATAAAAATTGAAAATATAAATATAAAATATAAATATAAATATTGAAATATTTGATAAATATATTATATCTTAGGCCACAGCATAATATTAAAATAGAGACTATCTGATGTTACCATGCTTTTATGTAACTAACTCAGAGAATGGTGGAAGATAATTATGTGGTTCCCTGCATTTGTGGACTGAGTCGTAAAATAAGAGTGACAAATACCAGAACCCAATTTACTGGCTCCTCGTTACCAGGGAGTGTAAAAACAACAGGATGGAACCACAAGAAGAAATAAAATATATTGGTTTAATTTACAAGATGGCATGAAGACAAGCCAAAGGTTAAAACCAAGCAAAAGAACACCTAAACCCAAAGGAATGTTTCAATATATACATATCCAACTCAAACTCTTATGAATATGCATGTACCCCCTGCAATGTAACAGTACACAGAGAACATGGTTTAGGTTAATGGTGTGCTTTTAGCGAATAGCCAAGCACCCCAGCACTGGATTTTATCCCTTTTATCCCTTATTAAACTTTTTAAAACTTTGAAGATTGAGCATAGTTTCTCACACCATCTGCATTCCTCAGGCCTTCACTGAGATGACTTCAATTTAGATTACACCTAAACCATGACCACTTGCCACCCAGGCCTCTTCTCAAGCACAGACTCTTTCATGGCTCAAGGTCCTACCACATCCCTTTTCACAAAACTGTGGTTCAGGTCATTCAGAATTTCAGTTTCAAAGTCGAAATTTTATTTGTCACACTTCATCGTCTTAATGGCTTGACATCCTCTTTCTTACACTTATTTCTCTGTAAGAGTTTTTAAGGAAAAACTCATTTATTCATCTGTCATATCATTAATTTCCTCATTCACATGTCATGCTTGTCTCTAGCAGAAGACTATTCCTAGGGCTTCTTTCTAATAAAATAATATTCTTCCTGAACTAATTTCAACTGCAGCACAATTGCTTATGAAAGATAAAAGACAGCGAAATAAGCATTGAATGTTAAAGGTGTTTTTTTCCTATAAGGTACTCATGAATTGCAAACAACACCCAGCTAATATATGCAATAATTTCTTTCTATTTGGAAGATGGGTTTAGGTTCTCAAAGTATTATCCATTTATCTATAATAAAATGGATCAGAGGGTCACAAATCGAGTTCCGTACCTTGCTTGGTGAATAGCTTCTACCCACTCATCTCCATCAACCTCATCCTCACAACGCAGCTCCAGTGGCTTCTGCCCCTCGTGGCCAAAGAGAACAGTAAAGTAATGCTGCAAATTAGAACAAAGGAAAAAAGGGTTCAGAAACTCTTAAAGTAAAAAGATATGTAAAATTTAAAAAATAAACAAAAAACTGACCAAACAAAAAAAAATAGAAAACACAAAAAAAATCCCACCCAGCAAATAAAAACCACCAGAAGACTTTCTATACTCAGCCCAGTGTGTTGCCAGTCCAAAGATGCGTTTTAAGTTTTAGTCTTGAAACATGGATTGAAGTTAAAACTACTCTGAAAATATTCCCCTGTGTATCAGGTAATAGCTTTCATGTACTTATTGCTAAGTTATTGTTCTTAAACTTCCACATCCAAGACAACAAAATACAATTCCCTAAAGAGCTCCTACAGCCAAGTACAATAACAGAACTACAGTGGGGTGTCTGCACATTTTTTTAATCTCAAACTTCCCCCAGCCAGCATGGGGATCCAAGCCTGGAGCCACCACCACCTCCTCCCAAAAATATAGATTGTGCACTGGCTCCAGCCTATTCCCCACCTTCCCAGAAGAATGGGGACCCTTCTCATCCATCACACTCCCAAAACATGCTTTCCCCTCTCTCAAGGAGTCTCACCCATAACTATATGGCAACTACCTTTTTTTTTTTTCACAAGAACATGCTATTCACCCAAAATCTGGCATTTCTTGCATGAAGGGCATTGCCCTGGTGTGTTCCACAGAACTTTCAGGGAGGTTTTTGCCACTGTCAGAACACAGCATGAACAGATTTAGCTGGTGGGGAGGGGGAGAGCCACCTTAGCCCCCACATCCATCCAGGGATTGATATTTACAACCTTATTTTGCACAGCTTATGTACCAACTTACAGCCAGGCAGCAAACAGGCCTCTTCCAGCTCAGATGAAAACAGGTCAGAAAATATTCTACCTAAACACACCTTCAATTTCCACAAGTGCCCCAAATACACCCTTTAGCAATCCAGGTGTTTCTCAGGCAGGAGGATGAGTGAGGGCCATGAAAACATCTGGGTTTGGGTCTGAGGTCATTCAGGAGCAATTCTGACTGAACTGAGGTCTGGATCCCTCCACTGTCCTCACTGCCCAGAACTCCCCCAGCCCTCGTCCTCCTCCACACCTGTGCACAGGGAACAGAAATTCCTGTCTGGGCTCCGGCAGCCAAACTCAAACACTCCTACATTTGGCTTCCTTTTGGGTAACATGAGCACAAAAAAAGGCATTCCAGGAGGAGAAATTATTCACTTGTGCATTGTATCAGTTTGTTAAACATCACTATGCATATAAAAAGCACTCCTCAGGCAGAAGAGCAGCAGGATTACGGACAGAAATGAGGCCAAATCAGAAACAGCATTCACATTTAACAGGCTTTAACTAAATGAAGTTCAGGCTCAGACCTGTTAAGTCTCAGAAATTAAACAGCTCCAGAACCCAAATGAGGAATAATAAATGAGTACAAGGACAATCTTATAACCTGTGGGGTTTCAACAGAGCATATCACTTAAACCTGAATACCATGAATAGGAAGGAAAAACCCATTTAATCAGGTCCATAGGATTCTCCACAGCAGTGAAAGATAAAAACTTTTACAACAATACAGTGCAGTTGAAAATAACCTACAGCACAGTGAAAAGTGCAGCAAGATTACACACAAATGTACTCTGTTTATAGAGTGGAATAGTCTATTTTAAAAAGCATATTTAAAGATAAATCACACTGTTCAGCACTGCATATTATGTAACAAGTTATTTGCGTTTCATAAAGCTGTTACATATAAAATTAGAATAAAGACACAAGTGCAGACAAGCACTGGATTTAATCCCATTGTGTGGGGACTCAAGTTAAAGGGAGAGACAATATCAGAGTCCTCCCTACTTTCAAAGTGCAGCAACTCAGACCTCTTTAAAGCAAGACTTGAAGTGATCTCATGTCACAGAATTTAAACTCAGAGGTGTGCAGTTACCATGGTGACAGGCACGCCAGAAACACACAGTTAGACCAAGAAAATGCATACATTTAAACTAACTTAGAGAGCAACCACAGCAGTTCTGGACTCAATGGCAACTAAAGCTAAATTACAGAAGGCATTTGTTTTGAAATCACCTACATCTGTCAGTCCCCCAAACAGGCATGCTGCATTCAAGCATCAGGATCAGGTCTCACTTCATTTATCCAGAAATAGTCAATTCAAGAGCAAGAGAAGTGCAAGAAAAATACCATAACATGCCTCTAAAAAGAATCTCAAAGTCATCTTTTAATTCTCTTTTCAAAATAAATGTTGCTCATTTAAAAAACTAATTTACTACAAGAAAATAAGATGGTGTCTGTGATGCACTATTACATTCTTCCATAATGATGTATGTGAGTGGGCCTGTATATATAATTACACAGAGACAATATAATTTTAGCACTGCCATTTAATGCCAAACAGTTCAGCTTGCACATCACTGCAGCACAGTACAGGTAAAAAACACCCTTCTCCATACACACCATCCTTCTCCTGACGGGAAAACAGTAAATATTTAAGCACTGTAGCACATATTTACATCAACTACCCTCATCACCATCATTATCCCGTCTGTTGGATATCAGGAACACTTATGTTTCAAGTTGTGAACTTGTGTTTCAAGTTCAGCTAGACAATTTTGCTGTTTATGTTTATTCTGAAAACCACTGGAATCATAGAGGGTAATATGAACAATCTGTGTTTTGACATAAAACAAATGAAGTCATTTCATTTCAAGGTGTCTCTTCAGTATTCAGTGACACAGCAAGGCTTCATTTGCACAAAAACACCTTTGGCAGAGTTCTTGAAGGTAAAGCTGGAGAAAAAAAGAGGCGGGGAAGCTTCAGGTACCTGGCACAGGTATGAAGGCACGACTGACAGCCCAGGAAGAAGCACTGCTGTGTGTCACTCCTTGGCTCCTACCTGGGCTTGACCAGAGTTTCTCCCTCAGTGAAAGGAGCAGTGAGGGAGGAGCTGATGGGTGCCTGCTGCAGAGACGAGGCTGGAGCCAGGCTCAGACTCTGGGGGCAGAAACCCTGCGCCAGGGCTGGGCTGCCCAGCAACTCACAGCACAGCTCTGCTCTTGCAAAACTGCCCAAGGGATGGCAGCACGCAAAACAGGGCAGCAAAACCTCTGCAGCCCCAACGTTTCCCCTTCAGAAGGGAAAAAAAAAGTTGTTCTGATTACAAAAAAAATCAAAGAAACTCTCACAAAAAAAAAAAAGTGCAACAACACAGCAAACAAACAAACAAGCAAACAAAAAATACACACACGAAACAACCCCACAAAAAACAAAAATCCAAAAGCCAACCCAAAAAACCCCATAGAAAAAAAAAAGCTTAACCCAAATGATACATGCCCTGTAACAGAAATACTGCTTTTCAGACCACTCAGGTCAATGAGTGGCAATGCCCAAGACAACTGCCCTTTCCAAAGATTTCCACGCTAAACATAAAACTAATTTATAATAATGCACTGTGAAATTGTAATTTTAAAGCTTAGTTGTGCCATGATCTGGCCAGGTGCTATTTCCCGATTTTTCACTGATTTATTGCAGTCCTGGCTTAAGTATTCAAGCCAGGATGTTGAGAGTAAGTTAAAAAGAAAATTACAGGCATCAATATTGATAAGAATGGGAAACAGAGATGAAAAACAATGGTGGAAAATTTGTCTGTTTACCAAGATTGCTACCAAAACACTAGGAGCCATAACAAAAGCCTGTCTTCAATGTGAGGCATGAGGAAGCTTAATCATTTGCCATGTATTTAAGGCTTACATTCATTGCCTGATGTTTGCAAGGGCGTGTTGCAAACCTTTGATGCTGGAAAAGGTGGCAGAGGTGATTAATTAAAATTTAACATGACAAGCTAAAAATATTTATTGTTCTTAACTTCTAAAGACTTTCATTTCAGAACTTGGAAGCCTGTGTGCACCCTGAAATGCAAGTAAATTACTGAGCAAAAGAGAACAATCACTGCAGCAACTGAAAACTCCTCAGTAATCCCAGAAGGAAAAGCAGCAAATTGCAGTGTAAATCAAAGCAGCTTATGCTATCCAAGGACACATTAACTCATGGAGTTTTCAGATGTGTTTTACTGACAGTATTTTGCCCAGCTTCTAAAACACAGAGCAAAATGTGTATTATGTATTACTCACATCCTGGGGAAAGGGAAGGAAAAGAAGCGGAAATGTTGGGAAGTAAGGCAGCACCTCCAGGAGGGAATAAGTGGGCAAGGGTGAATATGTGGAGGTGAGGGAAGTGTTTGGGGGAGAAGACAGCAATCCCTCACACAGAGAGATCATTTGCAACAACGTGTGGTGTCAGGACAAGGGGAATGGTTTCAACCACAGGAGAGTGAGATGGGATGCTGGGAAGGAAGTGTTCTCTGGGAGGGTGAGGGGCCCTGGGATGGAGCTCCCAGAGCAGCTGTGGCTGCCCCTGGATCCCTGGAAGTGCCCAAAGCCAGGCTGGAGCAGCCTGGGACAGGTGTCTTTGCAAGGGAGGGGTGGGATGGATGGGCTTTAGGGTCCCTTCCAACCCAAACCATCCTGAAATTCCATGGCTGTGCCCGCAGCATGGTGGGCAGGAGAGCTCCTCTCTGCCAGGGAAGAGTCCCCCATGCTGGGACTTGCTCCTGGCAGGAAACCCACATCCCATTGCTGCTAAATTAGCATGAGAACGGAATGATGACAGGACTGAGAATTCATTTTGAAGTTTCCAGGGAGATCTACTGAGCCAACACATTTCATGCTTGTATCACACCAATTAGTAGAAGCTATAATGAGAACAGGATTAGTGGACATCAGAATTAACATGATGTACTTGGGAAGAGTCAGATGGTTTTTGTACAAGGATGGCATCTCCTGTAAACCCAGAGGATGTCTCACAGGGGTCAACAGGTGTTTGGATTGCAACAAAAATGGTTTTCACAGCGATTTTGACAGATATTTAGGGAAATGCTTAAGCATCTAGGACTTAAAAGAAAAAGGTCACTCCACAGATAAAAAAAAGAAAAAG